CTAGGTGGTGCTCCCACCCCACCTTTGCTATTTTTATCCTACATCTCTGTTGGGACTTCTTCATGCATGGCACTGACCAGAGCTGATTCACCACTATCAGGCCGTGTAATAAAGGGCCTGAAGCTAAATGCAGCAGGAATGTGTCCCATTCATTAGACCCCCTTTGTCATTGCTTGACTTTTCTGGACCCCCGTCAAGCTGAAAGAGGTGACGCAACCCTCTTACCGGGCAGCTGTCAAAACTGGACCACGTGTTTTTCCTTCTAAAGTTCAAACTCTAGATAAGATAAAAGATAAAAGATAAACATACCGTTATCAGCCCATACATATGTTTCATTACCTTCTTTGGTCTGTGCGTTTGTGATCTGCAGGTCGCAGTCCCCGGCTCGGAGCTTCTCTCTGCCCATGATCTGCCTCTTCAGATCCCTCAGCGTGATGTGCGGGCCGTCAAAAACCACCGTGTCGTAGCTGAGTTTGGAGGAGAATTTATAATGAACATGAGTCATGCTGAAATCAAGCAAAAACGCCGTCAGAAACCCGACAGCTGACAGTTTCTCTGCGATGACAGAAACCCTGTATCGTGGTACTTCCTATGGCTCAAAGTTAGCTAGCTATCTGCTGTTAGCCGACCAGCTGCGTCGAGCGTCAGCGGTCCACCGCTAACAAGCTAGGTCGTTAATTAACAACTGCCCGATAAAGTGGCGTTGACAGGATGACATTTCCCGGCGTCTGGTGGAACAGCAGCAGAGACTCAAACCAAAGCGCATTCAGTTAGTTTCGAGTCTAATTTGAACTTTAATTCCTGCTAAAGCTGCTCTCAACCCGAAGTGTTCTCTGACAGAAACCACCAGCTGTTTCCACAAGCAACTGCTCGTCAGCACAGTGCACGCACCATCTGATGCTGCGTTCACGGGATCCCATAAGACTCCAACTTACGAGCATCCAAGTTAGTATTGCTAACTCATCTGTTCCTCATAATATCGTTTTGTGGAGATTAAATGTGTATTGAAGTCACAATGTGTTTGTGCTTATGTGCTTTAAGAAACTGTCGGTTTGTTTACAAGGAATTTGTTGTAAATCAGGTGGTTTAGTTGTGTTTATTTTTTTCACATTGTCTGATCTAATCATTGATCAGTTGCAAAATCATTGTTAACATATATCGCACATATTATTATTGTTAATATTATTATTATTAGAAATAATGGCAATAAGAGTACGAGTGGTACGCTTTCGTGTTTGACTTAAAGATAAAGTGACACAGTGTGACTGCAGCCACAGTGGGAATAAGACAAATAGCTCACTGTAATTTAGGGGTGAGGGTGACAATGGATTCTAACCTAAAATAGACGACCAACATTATCATTCCGCTTGCATGTCTATTTTTATGGCTACATTCAACTGTCCAACTTAGAATACAGATTTTACACGTTTTCTCCGTACACCTGAAGGCAACATCTTGCCTCCAAGCTCAGAGCGCTGCACCTGTTTGAGCTCATGGGACAACACACCAGGCAGGCTGGCTCAAAGAAAAACAGATTTACACCCAATAAAGATTAAATAATAGCTTGTTTTCCAGTTCTTCTGTTGCATTGCGGTCCCAGCGAGAGTCGAGTCACACTCCAACACAGCTAAGGTCACTGAGATTCAGGACCACAGAATAAACACACACTTTGTAATCACAAAAGCTACAAAATGTACACAATTTTCAGCTAAATTGTTGATTGCGTTCATGTTGCTTGTGTAGCCCCAATAAACCACTTGAGGGAGACAAAGCACCATTTATGATGCTGGTGTGTGTGTTAGCTGAACTGCACTGCAGTGTCCAATCAGTCATTAACGGTTCATATTTTGACATGGTGGTCCTGTGGCCATGGTAAAACATGCTTAATTATCCTTGACTGAAATAAAGCTCTGTGTTATTTTGATGTATATGCTGTCAAAACAGGTTCCTTTACAGACAGTGAGGATGCCATTGAGATTTAGCATTACACTAAGTGTGTTCCTACAGTACAGCCACAAATTCAATTATAAATCCCATTTTAAAAAAAAGCCAAATTCTTGCTATTACATTTTGCACTATTTGCTTAATTTGTTTTTGATTTCTAGAACCTGTCCTTAAAGCAATAATTTAACATTTTGGGAAACATATCCCTTCCTTTTGTTGCTCTTGATGATGAAAAAATCAACACCACTCCCATGTCTGTTTGGTAAATATGAAGGTACAGTCCCCTCCAAAAGTATTGGAATGGTAAGGCAAATTCCTTTGTTTTTGTTGTTCACTGAAGACATTTGGGTTTAAGATCAAAAGATGAGTATGAGACAAGAATTTCAGCTCTCATTTCCTGGTATTCACATTAAACAACTCAGGACCTACCACCCTTTGCTTGAACCCACCCATTTTTCAAGTGAGCAGAACTATTGGACCATGTGACTGACAGCTGTTTCTTGTTGCCCAGGGTTTTGCCTTTTTGGTTGATTGTCCAAAATAGTTTTCATCCTTGGTTCAAACTTATAAAGACTGCATTTCCTGTTAAAGAGGATAAACCAACATGAAGACCAGAGAGTTGTCTATTGGAGAAAAGCAAGCCATTGTCAAGCTAAGAAAATAAGGAAAATCAACCAGAGCCATTGGACAAACATTGGGCATAGCAAGCACAACAACTTGGAAAGTCCCGAAAAAGAAAAAAACTACTGGTGTACTGAGCAACAGACGTCGAACAGGTCGGCCAAGAAAACAACAGTAGTTGATGACAGAAAATCACAGCTCTCACCTACGACCTCCACAGTGCAGGGATGAAGGTATCACAATCCACTGTTGGAAGAAGACTCAGAGAGCAGAAATATAGAGGCCACACCACAAGATGCAAACCACTCATCAGCAGGAAGAATTAGAAGGTCAGATTGAAATTTGCAAAGAAGAACAGAGATGAGCCGCAAAAGTTCTGCAACACAATCTTATGGACTGATGAGACCAAGATTAATCTCTACCAAAGAGATGGAAAGGCCAAAGTGTGGAGAAAGAAAGGACCTGCTTATGATCCGAAGCATACAAGCTCATCTGTGAAGCATGGTGGAGGTAATGTCATGGCTTAGGCGAGCATGGCTGCTACTGGAACAGGCTCATTAATATTTATTGATGATGTAACTGATGATGGTAGCAGCAGAATGAATTCAGAAGTGTACAGAAACATTTTGTCTGCCAATTTATGGAGAAACCCATTGAAACTAATCGGGAGGAAGTTTATCATGCAGCAGGACAATGAGCCAAAGCACACTGCCAACAAAACAAAGGACTTCATCAGGGGAAAAAGTGGAAGGTTTTTGACTGGCCAAGTCAGTCATATGACCTTAACCCAATAGAGCATGCATTTCACCTGCTTAAGAGGAGACTGAAGGGAGAAACATCCTGAAACAAACAAACTGAAAGAAGCTGCGGTAAAAGCCTGGAATAGCATCACAAATGAAGAATGCAACAGTTTGGTGATGTCGATGGGTCGCAGGCTTGAGCCAGTTATTGCAAGCAAGGCTTATGCCACCAAATATTAAATGTTATTTACTTTAAGATTATTTGTTCCATTACTTTTGCTCACCTAAGAATGCTGTGGTCTAATACAAACTGTGATATGTCCTAAGTTGTTTAACACATCTAGATGTGAATACCAGGAAATAAAAGCTGAAATTGTGAACTCATACTCATCTTTTGATCTTAAACCCAAATGTCTTCAGTGAACAACAAAAACAAAGGAATTTGCCTTACTGTTCCAATACTGTTGGAGGGGACTGTACATCAGCCAGTTGGCTTAGCTTAACATAAAGACTGGAAACGGGGGAAACAGATAGCCTGGCACGTCACAAATTAACATGTTATGTCTCAGTTATTTAATTTGTACAAAAACTGAAGTGTAAAACTGACAGTTCACTGTTTTACAGCAGGCTATTACTTTGTTGGGAGCAGTAGGTCCACTGGTTGCCACCCAACTGCAAGAGACAGGCTGCATCAAAAATCACTCCCTATTTACTATATAGTGCACTATATTTAATAAATTAAAAGTTTATTTGTTAAATCAAAAGAACATTTAAGCTAAACTATCTTGCCACAGACCCTTGTCTCAGCACTAAAATAAGAAAAGTAGAAATGTTTCCTTGAGGGAAGGAGGTGTGGAAATGAGGAAACAAGACAAGCAAGAAAGTAGCTTAGGAAGCAGGAGTTTTCTCTGACATCATCACCACGGGTTGATGGCTGTGACACACACACATACAGAGGCACAGACGTGACAGTGAAGCTAGAAGACAATCGTTTACTGGGGGCTCAGATATACATGGAGGGAAAGGAGAGATGAGAAACGAGTGTTTGAGGAAGTGTTTTGCACTCTGTCTTCTCTCTCCTCTGCTCGTCAGCCTCTTGCTCTGTTTCTCCCTCTCTGCTGCCTGCTCTGCTCAGATGAGGGATTTGCCCTATCTTTCCCGGCTTAGCACACCATTGTGAAAGCAGTGGGAGGATGGAGAGATGCAGAAAGAGAGAGAGGGAGCGAGGATGAAAGGGAAACAGCTGCTGCCTTTAAACTGATGTTCTTCTTATCGTGATATGATACAGGACATGTTCAGTGACTCAGCCATCAAAGAGCTGCTGGGAAACAATTATATCCTCAGCTTTATGTGTATGTGTGCGGGGGGGGTATGCATGCGTACATTCTGGATGGCAAATGACGTACTTAAACGGGAGTATATTACAGTGTTTGTGACTTTGAATGTGTACACACATTTCTGCCAAGTAAAGAAATGAATGACAAAAATAAATGCAGTGGTGTGAAAAAGTGCCCCCTTCCTGATTTCTTTTTTTGCATGTTTGTCACACTGAAATGTTTCAGATCATCAAACAAATTGAAACATGAGACAAAGATAACACAAGTAAACACAAAATGCATTTTTTAAATGAAGGCTTTTATTATTATGGGAAAAAATTATTAGGCTCTCTCAGGTAATGAAATCACAGAGCACAACTCCGATGAGATGAACAATAACTTTATTGCAGGATGATACAAAAGTCCAGGCAAAGGTATCCAAAACACAAGGCGAGAGACGAGGTCGGAAAACAAGGCTACGGTCAAACACACTGATGAGGAATCAGGCTGGAATGCTGTCACAGGAACATGACGATCTGGCAAAGACCTCAAGGGAAGGTGGGTTTATATATTCAAAGGGAGGGGGGACAATGAAACACAGGTGCAGCACATTAGGGCGGGGACAGGTAATCACACATGAATTGAAGGCAGATGAAGACCTGAAATGAGACACAAGATGAGTAACTGAAACAAAACAGGAAGTGGTAACACACAAGGAAACTGAACACATAACTCAGGGGGTTAGGCCTGACAGTTCCCCCTCCTTTAGGGCCAGCTCCTGACGGCCCAGGCTCCTCAGTATGTTGCTGATGGAACTCACACAATCCAAGATGTTACTGGCTGACACCCAGGACCTCTCTTTGGGATCGTAAACCTCTGAATCGACGAGGTACTGACGGCCCCTTCCACGTCTTCTTACAGCCAGCAGCCTCTTAACTGAGTACACCAGTCCGCCATCGACCATGCACGGAGGAGTGGGAGGCATAGCAGGAACCAAGGGGCTCTCCTTCACTGGCTTCACTCGACTAATATGAAAGGTGGGATGGATCCTCATAGTCCCGGGTAATTTCAACCTCAAAGCAACAGGATTAATAACTTTTGATATAGGAAATGGACCAATGAAGTGAGGAGCCAGCCTAAGGGATTCGACGCGGAGAGGGATGTCCCGGGTGGCCAGCCAGACTCTTTGACCAGCAGTGTACAGCAGCGGATCTGCGGCGGTCAGCAGCCTGTTTATAGGCTGAAGAACTCCGGAGAGGAACCTGGCGAGCTTGGATCCAGGCACAGCGACAATGCCGCACAAGAGCTTGAGCTGAGGGGACCCCCACCTCCTTCTCCAGAGCTGGGAACAGTGGCGGCTGGTACCCGTAGACACACTGGAATGGAGAGAGTCCCGTGGAGACACACTGGAGAGTATTGTGCACATACTCCACCCACACCAACTGCCGGCTCCAACTAGAGGGGTTCCGAGAAGCCAAACAGCGCAGACCTGTCTCCAACTCCTGATTGAGCCGTTCGGATTGGACATTGGTTTGGGGGTGATAGCCCGAGGACAGGCTCGCTGAGGCACCAAGCAGGGAACAGAAAGCCTTCCCGAACTAAGAGACGAACGGTAGGACACCACATCTCAAGGTAATCCATGATAACTGAAGACATAGGACAGGACAACCTCCGCTGTCTCTTTAGCAGTGCACCATCTTAGAATCTGTCGACTACAGTTAGAACTGTTGTTTTACCTTCGGAAGGGGAAACCTGTAACGAAGTCTAGATGTCAGACCAGGGCTGGGAAGGCACAGGGAGGGGCTGTAGGAGACCGACTGGGGGGTGGTGAGACTTCTTGTTCTGCGCACACACCGGGCAGGCCACCACATACTCACCCACATCAGCCTCCATGGAAGGCCACCAAAACCTCTGCCTGATGGCGAACATAATCCTCTTCACTCCAGGGTGACAGGTAAGAGCAGAAGCATGAGTCCAGTGGATCACCTGGGACCTCAGCTCGGGGGGGACAAACGGTTCAGTGGGCAACCGACCGGGACAGTCAGAGTAACATTAGCCCACTTGACCCTCTCCTCCACCGCCCAAGAAACTGCCCTCACTACACACGAGGAGGGCAGGATAGTGTCCACAAACTTCGACGACGTCAAACAGGCGAGACAGGGCATCAGGCTTAACATTCTTGGATCCTGGACAGTAAGACAACGTAAAAGAGAAACGATTAAAGAAAAGGGCCCATCTGGCTTGACGGGAATTCCCCTCCCCAGATTCTTATGATCTGTCCATACTAAGAATGTTAGCTCCGCCCCCTCCAACCAGTGCCTCCATTCTCCCAGAGCAACCTTCACAGCCAGTAACTCCCGGTTGCCCACATCATAATTCCTGTCAGCCGCCGACAGTTTGCGGGACAGGAATGCTCAGGGATGGAGCTTACCATCCACAGGACTGCGACAGTGCCGATGTCCACGTCAGATGCATCCACCTCCACCACGAACTGCTGACTGGGATCAGGCAGAACTAGAACCGGAGTCCATGCTCACCTGCCCCTCGGATGCCATCAACCCAAGGAAAGACCAGCAGTTTTCCCCCTCCCTAATCCTGACTAGATGATACACATTTCTCAGATCCAGTTTGGTGAAAATCTTAGCACCTTGCAACAGTTCAAAAGCACAAGAAATTAGAGGGAGGGGGTACCTGTTTCTCACAGTGATGTCATTAAGTTCACAGTAGTCAATGCAGGACCTGAGTGACTTTTTTTTTTGTCTTTTTTTCTCAATGAAGAAAAATCCTGCCTCGGCAGGAGACAAGGAGGGTCGGATTATTCCCGTTGCCAAGGCAGTCGATATACTCCTTCATAGCCTGTAACTCTGGGGAAGACAAAGAGTACAGGCGCCCCATGGGGGGTAGCATGAAGATACAGCAGAATGATCTGCAAAATCTTCCTTTAACAGCCCCAGTAGACCAGTCAATATGAGGGTTTTGCTGAACTAACCAGGGAAACCCCAAAATAGGTGGATATAAAGGGGACTTGACTAGGTGAAAACTCTGAGTTTCTATCTGGGAATATTATGGTCACAGGAGTGGTGTGGTGGGTTACCTGCCAGAGAAGCCGGCTGTCGAGAGCAGTGGCTTCCAGGAGAGTAGACAGAGGCAAAAAATCCAGCTCTCTGGCGAGGGTGGCATCCATTAAATTGGCATTGGCACCCGAATCCACCAGCACCACCTGTGACACGGGAGAACAGAGAGAAGAAAGAGTTACTGTGGGCATGGGGCGAGAGGGACTATTAATAATAGTTGACTGACTGACCAGGACCCTGTACTTTACTGGTGAGCCTGCCCTTTTAACGGACAGTGGGCAATGAAGTGGCCAGGCTGAGCACAGTAGATACACCTACTCTCACGGATCCTCTTCTGTCTCTCTTCCGGAGTAAGGCGAGCCCGACCCAACTCCATCGGCTCCTCAGCTGCCCCTGACATGGGTGAAGACGGGTATGGAGGAGGTGGCAAAGAACGTGTTGGCGGGAGAACAGCGGCCACTGGGAGCCGCCTGTGGTCTGGAAGGTAGCTGCGGGACCAGGCACTCTCTCGCTCTCTCTCCTCCAGTCGCTTGTCAAACTTTATGGCAAGGGCAATATGGACATCCAAATCCTCCGGAAGATCTAAAGGAGCGAATTTGTCCTTTAACGAGTCAGACTTGAATAAAAGCATCAAACAGAGCCAACTGATTCCAGCCACTCTCTGCGGCTAGTGTGCGGGACTATGGCATAATCCGCAACCCTTCGCCGTCCTTGACGGAGTCCCATCAAGGAATGTGCTGGAAAATTTGTGTGAAGGCATGGTTCATTCATGGTTCTATTTACCTCAGTAAATCTTCACGACTTACTGAGGTAAATAGAACCATGAATTCTGCTGTCTACCAAGAAATCCTGAAGGAGAATGTCCGGCCATCTGTTTGTGACCTCAAGCTAAAGTGCACTTGGATCCTGTAGCAGGACAATGATCCAAAACACACCAGCAAGTCCATGTCTGAAAGGCTTAAGAAAAACAAAATGGAGTGGTCTAGTCCAAGTCCTGACTTCAATCGGATTGAGATGTTTTGACATGACCTTAAAAAAGCGGTTAAGGCTCGAAAGCCCTCTGAATTACAACAGTTCTGCAAAGATGAGCGGGCGCAAATTCCTCCATAGCGCTGTAAAAGACTCACTGCCAATTATCGCAAATGCTTGAGTTCAGTTGTTGCAGCTCAAGGTGGCCCAACCAGTTATTACTGAATATTGTTTATTTCTGTTTACCATTTTTATAATAGCTTCTGTATTAATTGTCTGCTATGTAGAGGAGGGGAGTTACAATACTCAATTTCATTATATAACCCGTTATATTGTGACAATAAATACCTACCTACCTATTATGTTTAGGGGGCAATCACTTTTTCACACAGGGCCATGTAGGTTTGGATTAAAAAAAAAAACTTAATTAATCTTTGTCTGATATTTCAATTTGTTTGATGATCTGAAACATTTCACTGCGACAAACATGCAAAAAAAAAGAAAGAACAGGAAGTGGGCAAACAGTTTTTCACAACACTGTACATAAGTCAAACGTTTGACTTTGTGTCTCATTATTTGGAGTATATGTTTATGTTTAGCTCTTGTAACCATACTACGTGTTTGTTTACACATGTTGGTTGTTCGACTAGCTGGCCACATATTGAATTTGCTTATCGGTTGACCGATGGTTATTGGACTTGTTTGATTGAAAGTTGGAATCAGATATCTGTTGGCCATTTCTACTCTACTGCAGGTGACTTTGATAATATATTTTGTCATGTGAGTTTTCCATCCCAATTTTCTGGCTGTGAGTGTGGCTCACGTCGAAATGCCGAAACAAGTGGGAACATAGCTGAATCCATTCTGTCCGGAAACAGCTTCATGTTGCTTTATGGCATTTTCAAAATATCGCTCTTCACTTTCTCTTGTCCTCCCCCCCTACACCTTACACTCTCCCCTTCTTGTCTTTCTGCTTGAGCTGTGTTCACAGGCTCCCCCCCCCCCCCCCCACACTGCAGATGGCAATAGTGTTACTCCACTCAAGGCACACACACACACACACACACACACATTGCTCTCTTTGTCAGTGAGAATAGTTCAGAGTGCTCTTCATTCAGTTTGCCCTTCTCAGAGAGCAGAAGTGTCTCTTGTCCTTAAAAAATCTAACTTGCAGACGAATTGTCAACCCTGATGGTTTTGTGGGTTCAAGTGCAAAACTGTGTAGCAATAGATAAAAACTTACATCGTGTGATGAAGGAAAAGCATTTTGGTAGATTTTTAGACATGCTCAAGAGATGTCAGTGTCAGATGGTCAGCTGATCCACCTACTGGATGGATTGGCACAGCCTTTGGTACAGACATTCATGGATCATGATCCTGGCGATCCCCTGACCCTGTCTTTAGCGCCACCATGAAGTTTACATTTGTGGTTTTGAGTGAAATGTCGAGACAATTGTTGAACGGATTGCCATGAAAGTTGTTACAAGAATTCATGACCCCCTCATGCTGAATTGTAATCACTTTTCATGAAGCGCCATCAACGATCAATTTTAATCTGTCCAATATTTTGTTTTATAGCCAGATCCTTGCAAGCTTAATTAATGGCATTACAATCAGGCACAGCTGTATTGTGTGTTTGTAGTGCAATTAACAAATTAAACTAAGATGGTGAACATTAACATTATACCTGCTAAACATCAGCATGTGTGGAATGGGATTTTTAAGGGGACGTTTCAAATTAAAGTTTGTACCCCAAGATGCGCTTTGACAGTACAATATGTGTATAATATGATATAATATAATATGCGTGCTGTGAGCTGTGTAGGAACAGTTATGGAGATGCTAAGTAGGCAGATTGCCTGAGCAACTTTCACATAGAAGCAAGTCTGTTCTCTTTTAAACTTGATCCAGGGAATGGGGAATGCACATGGAAAAAAACATAGCTTTCATCAATGTGCAGCCAAACGCTGTACAACAAAACAAATGCATGCACACAGACATCAAGGTGTTTGCTGCATTTCTCTTATGAATAGTGATTCAGCTAACGCACCCTGGCCTGAGCCATTCGGTCCGGTTGCCCCTGACCAAGATGACCCTCCTGAGGCTGAAGCTCAGTCCTCCTCAGACTCTGAGGTAAGTTTTCACTAACAAACTACTAATGTGATTAATGATAATGAAGATGATTACGATGATAATATAATAATAATTATAATAAAAAAAAAAAATTATACTAATAACATTCACCCCCCTTTGTTTCTGTCTTGTGTTTCTTGAGGAGATGCAGGGTCCTGATGGCCAGCCAGGATCAGTGCATCCTGAAGCTGGCCAAGGCCCTGTTGTTGCTTTCCAACAAGATGGTAGACAGACTCATCGTTGGATCGCTATGGATACACCTGCCAGAGCAGGACAAACAGCGACAGACACCGGGTGAGACAGCCCACGGGGCGGTTCAAGGCAGCGAAGGGACACCTCCTTTCCTGGAAAGGAGTCTCCAGTGGCAAGACTCATTTCAAACATTGCCTTACCTCTAGTAAATATCAGCTGTATATTAACCCCCGCTGTCCTCTCCGTCACTTTCTTCCAGCTGTCTTCTCAGACTGAACTCGGTCCCTGCAAGTGGGCGCACCGCCAGTATCCCAGTGGTGAGTTTAATATTAGGCTTTGTTGCTGTGTTCTAATCTGTCCTGTGATTGAATTTTTGATGAAAGCTAAGAAACGAAAAAACAGCCTCTATTTGTCTTCCAGGTTCTTTTGCGCCAGAAGGAGAGGGAGAGGTCTGTGCTGGAGCAGGGAACTAGTGTCGTCCCTGCTCCATCTGTTGCTGACCAGCCTCTCCCTCTAGCGAAAGGGCTGTCCTCTGTACAGGTGGAACAAGGACAGCCCTTCCACTGCAACGTCCCCACTGAGGAGCAGCCTGGAAAGTCCGGCTTTTTACAGTCCCTTTTCCTCAACAAAATTAATATTCTAGTAGAAAAATTAGGTGCAAATTTGTTAGTGATTCAAGTGAATTAAATCAAACATTTATTGACGATATCTTGAACATTTGTTATGTTTTCATTTTCATCAAAATGAATCGTCTTCCGTGCTTCACAAAAACATTGGTCTCTGTGAAGCCGGGGCTGTGAAACGAGTGCAACGTTTAATGTTACTGCAGAAGTATTCAGTAACTTCACTGTTATACAGTGTTTTTTCTCCACTAAGAAACATCTTGCTGTTCTAGATCTTCCAAAATATTACACACTGGAGTTTTAAGACTTATGTTTGCCATAAATTGGTCTGGACTATAACGTTTAGTGCATGTTTTGAAATGTGGTGATTTGTTCGGAATAGCCTAATGAATTGTTTTAAAATATGGTACTTAGCCTTTGTTTAATTTCTCATGGGAGTTCTAGAATTTGTGGCTCAAAGGTCGACAGCTGGACGGTAGCCAAGTGAATGACTTTTTTTTCTCTGGTAATTTAAGAGCTTTTGCGAAGTTTGTGTTTCCATTATTAATTGCTGTTTTATCCTCTGATATGCTACTTAAAGAAGTGATAGTTATCGCATGTTATCAACTTTTTTCCTCTGGTAAATTAAGCTACAGTTTCTTTAAAACATACTTTCACACACACAGGCTGCTTTGCCTATAATCACATAAATGTCATGCCTGGTTACACTATAAACTGCAAACATTTATTTGGCTGCAATTGTGATTATTCCGTTAAAATAAATGTTAGAGTTTCCAAAATGCATACCTTTGCTATTACCACGGACATAAGATAAGATAAGATAAATATAAGATACATCTTTATTGTGCATTTCTGGAAACTTGTCTTTGGCTTCACCAGGTTCATTAAAAACAGTGATGTTTATTTGTACGTTATGTCTGTTTGAACCAGATAAAAGCAGCTGTAGTCGTAAAGAGACTGGGTGATACCAGCAACGCATTCTCATCTCAGTGCGTCATTACCAACGCTTTCAGACAGCATGAAAAAGTGTAATTATACAGCTTTAACATACTGCGCGTGTTCCCACGGACGGCAATCCGTTTTTTGGCGGACAAGCAATAACTACTAATAATATTCTTTGTGGGGTTCATCAATGGTGATAAATGATTCGAAGCATATACAGTGAGGAAAATAAGTATTTGAACACCCTGCTATTTTGCAAGTTCTCCCACTTAGAAATCATGGAGGGGTCTGAAATTGTCATCGTAGGTGCATGTCCACTGTGAGAGACATAATCTAAAAAAAAAATCCAGAAATCACAATGTATGATTTTTTAACTATTTATTTGTATGATACAGCTGCAAATAAGTATTTGAACACCTGTCTATCAGCTAGAATTCTGACTCTCAAAGACCTGTTAGTCTGCCTTCAAAATGTCCACCTCCACTCCATTTATTATCCTAAATTAGATGCACCTGTTTGTGGTCGTTAGCTGCATAAAGACACCTGTCCACCCCAA